GCAATTCCAAAATGCAAGCCATAACAAAAGTATAACATAGCGTGCCACGACAAATAATCAATTAAGCATCGAAATTAAAAACGGTTACTAACCGGTGACAAGAACTAGCGATTGGAGAAAAGATAGAAAACGAGAATATCAAGCCCGTAGTATAGATATAGATTAGAAACAAAAACCGGCTATTATAGAAAAACGGAGTCGATGGCAAAAAAAACGAAACCCCTAGAAATTGATAGACTGTAACGCCGTTAAGGGCGGAGTAGGGTCCTAGCGGCTAATAGGGTTACTAACCTTAACCGCTGAAGACAATGATTTCGCAAGTTCAGTAATCAATTCGGGTGGGTGGAATGACGGAGAGGATGAAGTCAAACCTTAGCGGCTAATAGGGTTACTAAACTTAACCGCCAAAGACAATGATTTCGCAAGTTCAGTAATCAATTCCAGTGGATGGAATGACGGAGAGGATGAAGTAAAACTTCAATGGAGAGAAAATTTGTGACGGGAGAGTTTGGGAGAGATGAAACGATAATCTTGTGTTGTTCGAGAGAGAATTCGAAGAAAAATGATAAATGATAAGTGTAACGCCCGTGAACCAAAAATGTGATTTTTGGATTGTGCGTCGATCGATGCAGTGTGTGTGTATCGATCGACACAGTGTTTCGACTTGTGAGAAGTCGCGATTTTGGGTGTTACGTTGACCGACACAAGCTTGAATTGAACCGGGTTGGTTCGATTTTGAGCGTCGATTTGACGTGTCGGGTTAGGAAAACCCTAGGGGTTTGGTATAAAAGCCGAAGGTCGCGTTTTTGGCCGAGTTTTTGGTCAGAAACAGAGTTCTAGAGAGTGTCTGTGTGAGGATTGTGAGGAATCGAAGGATTATTGTTGATTTCTTCGTTCTCTCGATCCAAAAAGCTCTTGATTGTGATTGTGAGGCTCTGGGAGTGAGTTTCGGTGCTGGTTTTCACGGAGAAGGAGTAGGATTTGGGATTTGGTGGATCAGATTCAGAGTGTTCTTCGTGTCCATCGCGACTTTTCTTCATTTTCCTTCCAGATTCGAGGTGAGTGTGTGACCATGGCTTATCTGGGTAAAAGAATTGATAGGATGTGATTGATTGTTGTTTGTGGTTGGATTTCGTGTTGTATTGGTGGATTTTGTGCAGGAGATCGGCGGAAACGCGTTCGGAATCGACCATGAGAGGATAGGTTCGATTCTGGATTTTCTGCGTTTAT